AGAGGCATTCAAGTGTAAAAAAGCTGATGATATTAAACTCTAAAAAAATAAGGTATGTAGGCCAGGCATGGTCGCTCACACCTATAAATCCCAGCACTTTGGGAGACCCAGGGGAAGTATCTCTTGAGCCCAGGAGTTCAAGATCAGCCGAAGCAACATAGTAATACCTCGTCTCTATTTAAACTTTTTTTTTTTTTTTTTGAGACAGAGTCTCGCTCGTTGCCCAGGCTGGAGTGCAGTGGCTTGATCTTGGCTCACTGGAACCTCTAACTCCCAGGTTGAAGCGATTCTCTTGCCTCAGCCTCCGGAATAGCTGGGATTACAGGCGTCCACCACCACACCCAGCTAATTTTTGTATTTCTAGTAGAGGTGGGGTTTTGCCATGTTGGCCAGGCTGGTCTCGAACTCCTGGCCTCCGATTATCCACCCGCCTCTGTCTCCCAAAGTGCTGGGATTACAAGCGTGAGCCACAGCGCCTGGCCACATTTTCTGACTTCTGTCTATGAAGCAGACACTACAGGGATCCACGCTGTGCACCAGGGTGGGGCTGTCAGGACGACGACACAGGGGCCTGCTCTCCTCCCTGGCTCTCGAAGGAGACACAGCCACAGTCCTTATGACACAAGGAAGCCAGACAGGACACCCCAGGCACTCTGGAATCTGCCTGGGTGGGGGGTCCTCCAGGAAGCCTCCCTGGCCCCTCTCCACAGATCAGATGTCTCCACCCCCTGAGGACTCTAGATTCATAAATGATCAAAGTAGTCACTCCACTGCCCGCCTGCCTGGTTCTTGGCTGCCCCAGCAGCTTGTTCAAGGTCTGGTGAATAGGAATCACTGAATGAATGGAGAAAAAGACCACATATGGTGACCAGTTTCATGGAGCACTTGTGCTGATCTGTACGGCTCAAAAAACAAAACAAACAGAACCATGCATTTGGCAAGCAGCTGGCACCAGGATGCGCCGTTCTCAGGGGCGGTCTGGCCACCTACTGAGCCAACGTGGAGGAGAATCAGAGCCAAGATGGTTCTTCTAAGTTCCTGTCCTAGCCAACTTTTCTTCTGGGTTTTGATAGAAAGAATCTAGTCACGCCGGGCGCCGTGGCTCAAGCCTGTAATCCCAGCACTTTGGGAGGCCGAGGCGGGTGGATCACGAGGTCAGGAGATCAAGACCATCCTGGTCAACATGGTGAAACCCCGTCTCTACTAAAAA